ATCATCATCATCATCATCTTCATATTCAGCATCATCAGCATCATCAGCGTCATCATCCGCATCATCATCGTCGTCGTCACGAACGTCATTATCGGCATCATGGCAATCCTCACAATCGACATCATCAGCATCATCAGGACACTTGTTAACGTAATCATCATCATCGACATCATCGTCATCATCATCACCGTATGGGAGGCGACTAGAGGAGCCTCAATGGGAATATTGTCACCCCAGATCGGAGGGACCGTGGGAGAGGTCGGGGGACCGCTCATCATCATCATCATCATCACCATCATCATCATCATCCTCATCATCATCATCATCACCATCATCATTATCATCATCATCACATCATCATCACCATCATCATCACCATAATCATCATCACCATCATTCAACATCATCATCATCATCATCTCAATCATCATCATCATCAGCAGCATCATCATCATCGTGATCATCAGCACGATCCTCACCATCATCATCATCATCATCATCATCATCATCACCGCCATCATCATCATCTAACATTACAAAACCAGGATATATTGACATCACACTCATCATGGTGAGCATCGCCATCATGATCACCATCACGACCAGCATAAACATCATCATCAGCATCATCGTCAGCATCATCATCCTCAACATCATCAGCATCAGCATCAGCATCATGAGCATGATCATCATTATGATCAGCATCACTATCGTCACCATCATCATTACCACCACCTCCATCATCAGCATCATCGTGCCTGTCATCGACATCCTCATCTTCTTCGTCATCAGCATCACCATCATCATCATCATCACCATCATCATCAGCACCAGCATCAACATAAGTATCAGCATCAGCACCAACATCAGCATCATGTTCCGCATCCTCATCCTCATACACATCCCCATCCCATCATCATCATCATCATCATCGCCATCATCATCGTCATCGTCATCCGCCTGGTCATTGACATCACCATCACCATCACTATCATTGTCATCGTCATCGTCATCACCATCACCCTCACCACCACCATCAAGACCACCACCACCGCCGCCGTCATCATCGTCATCATCAGCATGATCCTCAGCATCATCATCAATCTAAGCATCAGTATCAGCATCAGCATCATCAATGTTATCACCATCGCCATCACCATCATCATTACCATCATCAGCAGCAGCATCAGCATCAGCATCAGCAACAGCATCATCATCCTCATCCTCAACATCGTCATCGCTATCATCATCATCATCATCATCATCATCATCATCCTCAGCATCATCATGATCACCATTACCACCACCACCAACATCGTCATCGTCATCATAATCACCATCACATCAACCACCACCACCATCATAATCACCATCATCATCATCATCATCATCAGCATCAGCGTCAGCATCATCATCAGCTTCATCCTTCCAACCATCACCATCCCACCACCACCACCATCACCACCATCACATCCACCACCACCACCACCATCATAATCACCATCGTCATCATCAGCATCAGCGTCAGCATCATCATCAGCTTCATCCTTACAACCACCACCATCCCACCACCACCACCACCACCACCATCAGCATCATCATCATCATCAGCGGCATCATCAGCGTCATCTGAATAATCAGCATCTTCAGCACCATCATCACCACCATCATCGTCATCATCAGCATCATCATCGTGATCATCAGCAGCAGCATCATCATCACCAGCACCACACCCACCATCACAATCACCATCATCATCAACAGCACCACAACAGCCATCACAATCATAATCATCATCATCATCAGCATCATCATCATCATCACCATCACCATGACCATCACCATCAGCAGCATAATCATCATCGTCAGCACCGTCATCATCATCATCAACAACAGCATCATAATCATCATCAGCATCACCATCAGCAGCATCAGCATCATCATGATCATCAGCATCAGCATCCTCATCCTCATCCTGATCCTCATCATCATCCTCATCATCATCCTCATTCTCATACTCATCCTGATCCTCATCCTCACCCTCACCCTCATCCTCATCCTCATCCTCATCCTCATTATCCTGCTCATCCTCCTCATCATCATCGTCAACGTCATCATCATCATCAACATCAGCATCAGATGCATCAGCATCATCACCATCATCATCATCATCAGCATCATCACCATAATCATCATCATTATCAGCATCATCATCATCAACATCAACATCAACATCATCATCATCATCATCATCATCATCATCATCATCATCATCATCATCATCATCATCATTACATCATTTCATCATCACACTCATCATCATCATCGGGACCACGTGTTCCAGACTGACGTTTCTGGAACATGGCGGCATTGTACGCTGCCTTGGGAAGTCTGAGACTATCGGGGAGGCTCTCGGGAGGAGAAGGTGGGATCGAGTGCTCCGGAAGAGTGGTTCCAGAGCATGGCGGACTTCGAAGGCTGTCGGGGACTGATGGGGGGGAGAAGTTGGGAGGCCTCCTGGGAGGCTCTTCAAGATCTGTGGGGGGCCTCTTGGGATTTTTGTATGGAACTCATGTTGGGGCCTCTTGGGGCGCCCTGGAGGCCTCGGGCGGTGCTGTGGAGCCTCCTGGGGCCTCTTGGGGCGGAAGGCTCGAACTGTCGGTGCGTGTGCTCCCTCTGGGACCGCGCCGGGCGCACTGCTGTGGCCCTCTGGCGCCGTCTTGGGGGCCTCGTGGACCGCCGGCGCTGTGGCGCCGCATCGGTGTACGTGCATATATGCATGAACATGTACTCCAAATCTCGTAATAAAAGGGAGGGGGTCTGGACCCTCCAAGACAAGCCATTTCAGACCTACCCCGTGGGAGAACCCTCCAAAACATCGTCCCCAGGCCCCCCAGGCCCTCCAAGAGAGCCTGGAAGAGACCCCTCCCCGAAATGAGACCCCCCTCCCTTTCTTGCGAAATCTGGAGCATACATCCGCCACCGTGCCCTCGAGGCACGAGTTGGAGTGTCCGCAGGTTACTGGCCGAGTCCCCGAAGCCTCAATCCCAGACCACCGAGGATTCTTTCGGGTGCCCCGACCCACATGGCCCAGTCTCCGGGGCGCGCCGCGTGCCCCCCGGGGGCCCCCGCGTCCTGTTGCATTGACCTTCTCGGGCCCAGGAGGGCCCCCAAGACGGGCCCAGAAGGCCCCGAGAGGCCGCCCAAGGCAGTCCAGGGAGGGCTCCGAGTCGCCGCACGAGTGGTCCAAGACGCCCAAGATGACCCCAAGAGGGCCCAGGAAACCTCCGACCCGCCCAAAGAGAGCCCGGAGAGCCTTCCAACGCTCCAAGACTGCCCAAGAAGCCCCCAAGACCACCCCAAGACGGCCCAAGAGATCCCCGAGAGGGCCCCCAGACGACCCAAGATGGCCCGAAGACGGCCACAGAGGCGCCCAGGACGGCCCAAGAGGGCCCAAAGTCAGCCCCGAATCGGGCCCAAGCGGGAGAACACGAACGGAATCCGAGTCTTCCGCCCCAGGAGGCAACAAGGAGGCGGCCAGAGGCCCCCAAGAGACCCCCAAAACGCCCCCAAGTCGCCCGAAGGGGCCCCAACACGGCCCCCAAGAGGCCTCCAAGCGGCCTCCGAGAGGCTCCCGAGAGGCTCCCGAGAGGCCACCCACGACATCCCAACGCACATCCTAGAGGCCCATTGCCCACAACCCAAACACGATGGCGGGATGGGCCGAAGACCATTCGATGTCAAATGTATCGCCGTGTGCACATGCGAGTAAGGTAAAGAGGGTAACGATTTCTTCTGCATGGTATATGAGGATCGGGCGAGGTCCAAACCGGCTCCCCTGCCCTGGGATCCCCAAGGTTGCTGCGAAGTCTCACGCGCCCAAGTGCAATGGATGGGTTCGAGACCTTCCGTGAGGGTTGCGCGGCGTCGACTGTGCGCAGCATTCAGGGTTCTCGATTATTGAAGGAAGGGTGCCCTAGAGACCCTCAAAGCAACATGAACGAGAAGCCCCTTGCCCTGCCCAAGGCCGGCAAGGACCCGAGCTCAAGGGAAAGTTCAAGGGAAAGTTTCGATGCTGTGCTCTCTCTCTCTCTCTCTCTATCTCTGGCACTGCGGGAACTCGCGGGGAGGGGAGGAACGGGATAGAGTAGGATGGAGACACCGACGGGCCCAGCACAATGGAGGGGAAGCAGGTGTACCAAACGCTTCTCTGGTACACTGCTCTCAGCTGCGTTGTTCTGAGCATGTTGCGTCGCCTTGGAATACGGACGTGGGCTTCGTGGTCTGGTCCATGGTTTGCTGTTTTCCAAACCAAACACTCCTGTGGTGTTAGGTCTTCGTTTTGAAGAGGGAGCGCCCCGGGTCCTCCCTCCTCCTCCCCCATCCCTCTCCCACCCCGGCCCAGGACGTCCGCACGTCCATTTCGGCGCACCTCTCAGAGGTCTCGCGGCCCAGTGGGTGCGTGCACGTGCGCTTTCCCGCCCATGTCGTCGCACCACTCTTCGTGACCTCACAAGATCCCCTCCCTCGTCCCACCTGCCTTGCGGCAAACACACTTGCGTATGTATAGATCCTTCGCTCGAACAATTATTGACACACACACACACATTTTTTTTCTCTCTCTCTCTCTTGTATAACGAGAATATCTGGCTGCACTAAAACGGCCTGAAAGTAAGATTGGAGGAGGAGAAGGAGCGAAGGGGGAGAACGGGGAGGAGGAGATGGATCGGAGGGTGGAGGAGGAGGCAGGAAGGAGGGAGGAGAGAGGGTGAAAGTGAGGGGGGGGAGAGTGGGGGGGGCGAGCAGGATGAGGGAGGGAGGAGGGAGGAGGGGGATCAGGAGGGGAGGTTCGAGTCCAGCACTCCCATGGCAGCGGGGCACCAGACGGGGACGGCGGGGCGAAAAGAGATGGGAGAGACGGGGGGAGGGGGGGAAACGGGGATGCGAGGCGGAGGTGGGCTCAAGGGTGGAGGAGGACGAAGACGCGGAAAGGCGGAGACAGAAGTCCTCTGCCATGAGGCACGGGTGCTCCGTGAACTGGAAGATCGTGAAGTGGAGCGCGCGGTCGGGGGCCCACCAGACAGACAGCGGCCCGGCGCCATGCACCGCGAGCGCCGCGTCCAGGCGGCGTACGAAGGCAGGGGAACACACAGTGGCATCAACACGAAGACTCGGAGGCCCGCATGGACTGCTCGGATCGGAGCCGCACCCCCCTCCCTGGAAGCGCGGGGCGGGCCAGGGGGCGGCGCCCGAGGCGCCGCCAGGGGACCCCGGCGCCGATCCGAGAAGCCCGCACGGACCTCCGAATTTTTGTGTCTGCAGTTGAGGCCTGGCATGGGCCTCCACTGCATGCCACTGTTCCGCTCCCCGAGAGGGGCTCGAAGACGGCGGCCCGCGCCGCGGCCGCGGTCCTCTGAAGGGGCCCCAGGACACACAAATAAATACACACAAATAAACAGGTTCCCCATATTTTCCCATATTTTCTGGGTTTCTGTCTTCCCCCCCACTTCCCATATTTTCCCATATTTTCTGGGCAATCGACGATTAATTGTGTCTGTGTGTTTCTTTCCCTCCTGGTCCTCACGAGCTCCGGGCAGACGGCGGTCACCCCGACGGGCCCCTGGCCGTCGTCGAAGCGCGCGGGCTCCAGGCGCCCGCCCTCGGCGCGGCGGAAGCCGCGGCCGACCGCGGCGTTGGCGGGCCACTCGCCACGGCCGCAGGCCTCGACCGTCCTTCGATGCTCCTCAGAACGTGTCTCGGCTGCACGTAAGAGTGACCCTGGGTAAGAGTGACCTTTGGTGCGCGGTTTTTTTGGGGGCACGAGGAGGCCAAACACAAGCGCGCAAGACGCAAATATCGCAACGAGCGCGGCGATCGGGGGACCCCAGTGAGCGCGCACCAAAGGTCACTCCGGCGAAAGGTCACTCTTACGTGTAGCCGAGTGTCAGCGCCAACGTGCGTTTGTCCACCGAGGCCCCTCAATACGACGGAGGAGGCACCACGAGGGCCGACACAAGCTGCGCGCTATCGGCGGAACCGAACGGGGTGAACACACGCTTGGGCTAACTCACGTTCTCAGGATCATCGGGTCCTCTCCACCAGGGGCTCGTACACCGGGTGCCGCCAGAAGCGCCCCATGGCCGGGGAGTGCCCCCCCCCGGGACCCTCCAGCGCACCCCTCGCGAGGCCCAGAGGGCCCCCCCGCGGCTCAAAGGTCGAGCGAAAAGCGGGGGGGGCACCCATGGACTTAGGTCGGGAATGTCTTCCTACAGGCAAAGTTAGGACGCAAAATGAAGAACAGGCCAACTACATAAAAAAAGCTCTGAACGAAACGATTCACTGCGTGGAGCTCCCCATATGTGCATCTATTCGCATGGACCTGTCCAGCAAGGCGCAAGAGCTTTCGAATATAAACGGGCTTCAGTTGTGACGGTCTGGACATGAATCTAATTGAGAATGAATTGGAGTGCGAATGAGCCTCAGTAGTACGAGCGCGTCTCTGCGCATGAGCCTGGGGCCTCCTGGGGCCTCCTGAAATCTACTCGGGCTTCCTGGGGTCTCTAGGAGCCTCTTGGGGCCTCCTGGGACCTCCTAGGGAGGTTTCGTGCCCCAGGAGAGGCCCAATCTATAGCAACAGACGTACATAAAACATTCCGGATTAGAGCCACAGGAGAAGGGCAATCTACAGGAACACACGTAAAACACCAAGGACTCGTGCCCCAGGAGAAGCCCGATACATAGAAACATTATCCCAGTGCGACCCTATTTAGGAATTGGAGCATCTAGGAAAGCAACATCTACATCTAGACCGACAGCTACATTAACATCTACACCTGCATCTACATCTACATCAACATCAACAGCGAGACTCACATCTACATCTACAGCTACACCTACATCTAAACCTACATCTACATCTACATCTACACCTACACCTTCATCTACATCTACATCTACAACTTCGCATTGGTGTTGTGTTTGGTTTGCATTGTCTTGCCTTTGATGTTGCTGTTGCGTTTGCTGCTATGCTATGATATGCTATGTTGCGCTGTGCTATGCTGTGCTGTGTTGTGCTGCGCTATGATATGATATGCTTTGCTATGCTGGGTTATGCTATGATATGCTGTGCTGCGCTATGCTATGCGACGCTATGTTATGATATGCTGTGCTCTGCTATGCTAAAGCTCAGCGAAGCTAAGCTGAAGGTAAGCTAAGATGAAGCTAAGCTAAGCTAAGATGGAAATAAGCTAAGATGAAGCTAAGGTAAGATAAACCTGAGCTAAGATTAAGCTAAGCTAAGCCAAGATGAAGTAAACTAAGCTAAGATGAGATGAGCAACGCTAAGCTAAGGGGACGTAACTGGGCAACCGCGGGACGGATCCTGGGGGAACCGCCCGGGGCGAGGCCCACTGCCCGGCCCCTTTACCATAGAGAGTAAGAACCCTTCTAGGCAGAGCCTAGGTAGGGAATAAGTCAAACATGTAGGATTGTGTACACAGGAGAAGGGCAATATATAGAAACATACGTATAACATCAAGGAATCGTGCTCCAACTGAGGCCCAATCGATAGGAGCATACGTAGAACACATCAGATTGGAGCCACTCCTGTTGCCTTCTGAAGCCTCCTGCTCCTGGGGCCTCTCGGGGCCTCCTGTTGCCGTCCGAGGCCTCCTGGCGCTTCCTGTGGCCTCCTGGGGCCTCCTGTTGCTTCCTGAGGCCTTCTTGAGTTTCCTGGGGCCTCCTGGAGCCTCTTGGGACATCCTGTGGCCTCTTGAGTCTTCTGTGGCCTCCTGATGCCTCCTGGGACCTCATATGGTCTCCTGGGGCCTCCTGGAGCCTGTTGGAGCCTCCTGTGGCATCCTGACAAAAATCTGCGCCCACGAGCCTGGCCACCAAAACAAGCAAACCGATCGAGACATCCTCAAAATCTGGCCCACCTGGGGTGTGAAAATGAGCGCCTCGCTCGAGACATCCTCCAAATCTGCTCCGACAGCGAAGGATGTTGGGACAGAAACCAAGCAAACCGGTTGAGACATCCCCACAAAACGGCCGCGAACGGGACCGTGCAATACCCCTCGGCTGCTCCCTTTCGGGACGTGAGGGCGCCTCGCTCGAGACATCCTCCACCGAAGACGAAGGGTGTTGGGACAGAAAACAAGCAACCCGCTCGAAACATCCCCACAAAACGGCCGCGAACGGGACCGTGAAAACACCCCTGGCGGCCCCCCTTAATGAGCGCCTCGCTCGAGACATCCTCCAAATCGGCTCCGAAAGCGAAGGATGCTGGGACAAAAAACAAGCAAACCGCTGGAAACATCCCTACAAAACGGCCACGAACGGGACCGTGAAAACACCCCTGGCGGCCCCCCTTAGGGATGCTGAAACCAGCGCCCCGCCTGAGACATCCTTACAATCTGCTCGGATAGCCCAGGATGTTGGAACAGAAAACAAGCAAACCGCCTGAGACATCCCCACAACATTGCTGCGAACGGGACCGTGAAAACACCCCTGGCGGCTCCCCTTCAGGGAGGCTGAAGCCAGCGCCCCGCCTGAGACATCCTCACAATCTGCTGTGTGGGGAAAAATCAGACAATGAAAAGGTCTGAGTACGAGCAGGTCTGGGTATGAGTAAGTCTGGGAACAAGTCTGAGTTTGCGTTAGTCTGGACATGAGTAAGTCTCAGCATGAGTAACTCTGAGTAGGAGTAGGTCTGAGTATGAGTAGGTCTGAGTATGAGTAAGTTTGTGTCTGAGTAAGTCTGGGTATGAGTATATATGAGTGCGGGTCAGTCTGTGTATGAGTAAGTCTGGGTATGAGGAGGAGAGGGGAGGAGAAGGAGAAGAAGGAGGAGAAGTCGGCGGCGTCCAAGAAATAACAAGAACTCCATCTTAGGATATGGGGAATAGCAAGAATCCCATCTTGGGATATGGGGAATTATTCACTGCGTGGAGCTCCCCATATATGCATCTATTCGCATGGACCTGCCCGCCGTGAATGTCCAGGCGCAAGAGCTTCCGAATATAAACGGGCTTCAGTTGTGACGGTCTGGACATGAATCCAACTGAGAATGAATTGGAGTGCGAATGAGCCTCAGTAGTACGAGCGCGTCTCTGCGCATGAGCCTGGGTCCTCCTGGGGCCTCCTGGGGCCTCCTGAAACCTACTGGGGCTTCCTGGGGCCTCCAGGAGCCTCTTGGGGCCTCCTGGGGCCTCCTGGGACCTCGTAGGGAGGATTCGTGCCCCAGGAGAGGCCCAATCTATAGCAACAGACGTACATGAAACATTGCGGATTGGAGCCACAGGAGAAGGGGGCAATCTACAGGAACACACGTAAAACACCAAGGACTCGTGCCCCAGGAGAGGCCCTATTGATATAGCAGGAGAAGGACAATCTATAGAAACATATGTATAGCATCAAGGAATCGTGCTCCGGGTGAGGCCCAATTGATAGGAGCATTCGTAAAACACATGGGATTGGAGCCACTCCTGTTGCCTTCTGAGGCCTCCTGCTCCTGGGGCCTCTCGGGGCCTCCTGTTGCCTTCCGAGCGTTTCCTCTGGCCTCCTGGGGCCTCCTGAGGCTTCCTGAGGCCTCCCGGAGCTTCCTGGGGCCTCCTGGAGCCTCTTGGGACATCCTGTGGCCTCTTGAGTCTTTCTGTGGCCTCCTGATGCCTCCTGGGACCTCATGTGGTTTCCTGGGGCCTCCTGGAGCCTGTTGGAGCCTCCTGTGGCATCCTGAGGAGAATCTGTGCCCACGAGTCTGGCCACCGATCGAAACATCCTCAAAATCTGGCCCACCTGGGGTGTGAAAATGAGCGCCTCGCTCGAGACATCCTCCAAATCTGCTCCGACAGCGAAGGGTGTTGGGACAGAAAACAAACAAACCGCTTGAAATATCCCCACAAAACGGCCGCGAACGGGACCGTGAAAACACCCCTGGTGGCTCCCCTCAGGGGGAGCTGAAACCAGCGCCCCGCCTGAGACATCCTCACAATCTGCTCGGATAGCCAAGGATGTTGGGACAGAAAACAAGCAAACCGCTTGAGACATCCCCACAACACGGCCGCGGACGGGACCGTGAAAACACCCCTGGCGGCTCCCCCTAGGGGGGCTGAAGCCAGCGCCCCGCCTGAGACATCCCCACAGTCTGCTGTGTGTGTGTGTGGAAAAAATCAGACAATGAAAAGGTCTGAGTATGAGCAGGTCTGAGTATGAGTAAGTCTGGGAACAAGTCTGAGTTTTCGTTAGTCTGGGCATGAGTG